CACTGTGAAGTAAGGGGGGGGGGTCTGTGTTCTTATTTCCTTGCCAGTGTTCTTTTTCCTCCGTGCCTCCTCTTCATCACCTCCTTCCCTACGCTCAGTTGACTGCTCACCTATCCTTAGTGAGCCATTGACAGTTAATTAAAATAAGGCTCCAGATGTATGTCAACTATAATTGAAAAATAAATTTTAAAAAATGTTTTAAGGCTCAAGTTATGTCTTACCCATAGTTGCATTTGTATTTTTAAAAGAGGATTTTGAAGAGATAGTGAGGTTGATAGAAGGGGACAGTTGGTTCCTTAACTCAGCCGGTCCAACCAAAGTTGCAGAGAGGAGGTCTGTAGGGCCTGTCTTACCCTCTTCCTTACAAGAGAGGGTATAGACTTTGAGCTGCTATCACTATTTCCTTAACTCCAAACACACAGCTGCAAAAAAAATTTTGAAGTGCTGAATGCCACAACCACCGCTCCTCATGAGGACCAAAGCCTTCCCACCAGCCGTCTAGCTCCCTGGTCAGGAACAGGGCTTCACCAGCCTCTTCCTCGTCCCTTGTATCTAACCAGGTTCTGTTGACTCTGTCTCCTTAGCACCTCCAACTTTTCCATTTCTTTCCATCATCTCTTGCCTCGATTACTATAGTAGCTTCTAACTGATCACCTAGCTTTCCATTTCTCCACACAGCTTCAGGTGTTCTTTCTAGAAGAGGGATCTGGTGTTCCCCAGCTCAAAAAGCTGTAGATGGCTTCCCTTTGCCCTCAGGATAAAGTCCAGACTCTGTGATGTAACTTACAAGATCTTTTACGACCCAGCCTCTGCAGGTTCTCTTGTATTCTCTACCTCATCCCTTACACCAGCTACTCTGAACTTCTCTCTTCCCCTGACTGTCTCCCTTACTCCTATCCTTGTGCCTCGTTCAGTCCTGCTCACTCTCTACTCTCTGTGTTCGTTTAGTCCCTATTCTCCCGAGGAGCCTCCCCACGCACCATGCTGCCTGCACCATGTCCTCCCAGTGCCCCGTCCCCCAGAGCCCCTTATGGCACACAGTGTTGTCTTCTGCCTGGTTATACTCCCCACTGGAATATCAGCTCCTTGAGGGCAGGAGCCAAGTCTGTGTGATTTCCATATGTATCCTGGTGCCTGGCACATGGAAATACTTACCTGAATGAGCATGACAGTGAGTGGGTGAGTCTCAGAGGGTTGCTTTGAGTACCCTGAGTTAGCTCTCTATTGGGGTTAGCTCTTTTTTCTTAGGCCTTGGGCACTAAAGCTGATGAGATTGTTAGATGGAGCCTGTCAAAGACTGCTTAGAATACCAGTGAAAAATTAAGTAAGAGAAATGTATGTACCTTTGAGGGGAGGGGGGGGCTCTTATTGAACATGCTGTTCTGTAACCTGAGATAAGAACAATTAAATAGAGGAAAATATTTTGTCCTGAGAGGCAGATGGCCCCGAGGGCCTCCTGGCATCCCAGAACTGACAATAGAAGGTCAGATCATCTCGAATCCCATACTTGAAGTTAGTCTCTCTGGTCCGTACCTGGACTGGTATACTCTTGGAGGTATCTCATTCATGCAGTGTGGAATACTGGGCCCAGTGAGCTCTGGAAAAAAGCATAATGATAACATAATGGCTGATAAGCCGTGGCAGGTAGCCCAGGGTCTCACCTCCTGTCCTGTTCCTGGTGGGTGACAGGGCAAGATGTGGGTGGATGTTAGTAGCCAACTGAGCTAGGGGTTCAGGCTCTGACAAGTGGCTTCTCACACACAAGAATAACCTACTTATCTCATGGAAATTTACTTGTTAGTTCTCCATTGAAGAGGCTGGAGCTGTGGCCTGAAGAGTGTGATGTGAAAGCCTATTGTCTTCTCATTCTCTCCTCCATTTCTCTTCATAACCCCTTTTTCTCACTATAGCAAAGTGCCCGGGTTTGTTCGAATGCTGGCCCCAGAGGGAGCCCTGAATATACATGAAAAAGCATGGAATGCCTACCCTTATTGCAGAACTGGTGAGTGAAGACTGGCTACAAGCTGGAGTTTGGGCCCCAAGATGGACAGAGAATGTGATCAAGTAGACCCAGCGGTGGGGGTAAATTGGGGTTTTGTGTCCCACGTTCATTTTCCAGTTTAATTCAGTGGAAGGATGAGTTTAGGGATTTCCTTTAGACCTGAGGCTGGTGGTATCAGTGTTGTCTAGTATAATTTGGCAGCCAGCTGGGTGAAAACCACCAAATAGTTATGGCCTGAGATAGCACAGAACCAGCTCTCTTATTTGGGAATGGTATGATAATTTTGATTGTTTTTACTGATTATAAAAGTAATGTTCTCTATTTAAATTTTAGAAAGTACATAGAAACAGAAGAAATTAACCACCCATAATTCTCTCTCTTTTTTTAAAAATTGATTTGAGAGAAAGAGGAACAAACATCGATTTGTTGTTCCACTTATTTATGCATCATTGATTGATGCTTGTATGTTTCCTGACTGGGGATTGAACTCGAACCTTGGCATATCAGGACAACGCTCTAACCAACTGAGCTACCCAGCCAGGGCCTGCCCATGATTCTCTTCTTCCTAGGTAGTCACTGTTAACATTTTAATGTCTTTTTTTCTGGCCTTTTAAAAAATCCTACATGTATACACATATATAAAATGTCCAGACATATTTCCTAGACAAGTTTTGGATCATATCATATTAACTGTTACATTGCTCATTTTACTCAGTAAGTGGAGAATCTTTTCCTTGTCACTACATAGTCTCCTTTTTTTTTTTTTAGTTTTTGTTTTGTGTGTTTTTTTAATCCTCACCAGAGGATATTTTTTCCATTGTTTTTCAGAGAGAGTAGAAGGGAGGGAGAGAGGGAGAGAGAGAAACATTGATGTAAGAGAGACACATCGATTGGCTGCCTCCCACACATTCCAACCAGGGCCAGGAATGGAGCCTGCATCCAAGATATGTGCCCTTGGCTGGAATTCAACCTGGGACCCTTCAGTCCGAGGGCTGATATTCTAACCACTGAGCAAAACCAGCTAGGGCCATAGTCTCCTATTTTTAAAAATTTGTAATGGCTGCATAGTATTCTATTGTATGAATGTACTATGATCTTTTTAAACCACTCCCTTATTGTTAGCTACTGACATTTCCAGTTTTAATGCGATATATTTGTGTGTGGCTTGAAAAACAGCATTGAGGCAGGGACTCTTGAGAGAGACAGCAGTCATAGAAAAGAGCCTATAGGGTGACCTTCCTGCCCCGGGGAAGGGCCAGGCCTAGACACCAAGAAAGCATAGCAAAGGAAACATTGGTGTTGTTGGGGGAAAGTGGAAATAAGCCCAATTTTTGATGATAAAGGATTTAGAATCAGCTATACCTCAAGCATATAACACATGGAATGTGTGCGCCAGATTTGGGCGGGAGGGTGAGGGGCAAGGAGATGGAAAGTCACTGTGAAGAGCCCTGACTTAGACTAAACCAGCATGTTCTGTAGTTAAAGGTGGGAGTGGGGTCATTTTTTTAACCTTGGCTAGTCTCCTATCTGGAGTTTCTGGAAAGGAGAGATTTGAACCTCCACAGAGAACTTTCTAGTCTAGACTTTCTGGGATTCCCTTTGAGTAGTTCAGACTCCTAACTTCCCAAGATTCCAAAGTAGATCTCTTGGAGGGCCCAACCTGGTACTGATCCATATCCTAGTGTGGTTCCTAGAGGTCCCCTAGAACTTGTCTATGAGGTGTGTGGCCTTTCCCCCAGCCAAGCTACATTTGTTTTCACAGATAGTCTGGCTACAGGGTCCTCTTGCCAGCCTCTGATTATGTGTACTGCTTCACTTGCCTTATTTGTTGGGACCTGGCACTCCCTAGATTGTATCTGATGAGGATGTTCCACCCATGCGGTCCTTTTTTTTTTTTTTTTAAATATATCTTTATTGATTTCAGAGAGAGGAAAGGAGAGGGAGAGGGAGAGATTGAAACATCAATGATGAGGGAGCCATTGATTGGCTGCCTCCTGCACGCCCCCGACTGGGGATGTGCCCTGACCGGGAATCGAACCCCGATCTCCTGGATCCTAGGTCGATACTCAATTGCTGAGCCACGCCCAGCCAGGCCACCCATGTGGTCCTTATCCAGTGAACTTGGGAATGATTAAAGTCTAGAGCACAGGGTCATTGCTCTTTCTAATCCTCAAGAACCTTGTATCAGGAGATTAAGCATCTTTGATATGACTTGGGGTGTGTGACACTTAGAGTTTTATTGCTGCAGTTGAAAATGTAAATATCACTACTCCTGGAGCACTGGGCAGGAAGCTCTTAAATTCTTGGAAAAGAGGCATGCACACACTTTCTTGAAAGACCATGTGCACTGTGGCTGCATAAGTCTGGTCTAGGGCCAAAGGTGAATTTTCTTGATGTCTGAGAGAGTTGCATTGAGCATGCATCATAAGAACCTTTGCCAACTTGGCATAAAGGAGGCAAACGGATAGCATGAACTCCTCCACGCCTGGGGCAGGGTTCTGGGTACACAACTTGTGCCAACTGAGAGATGCCACTGTCCTCTGTGTAATTCTGGGGAGTGTGCTGCAGCTGACATGGGCGTTTTTCTAGCCACCAAATGTTCCTTCACATATTGTCCTGATCTTTGGCCAAAAGAAAAAAAAGATTAAAGTAATTTCTAAATACTCCACGAAGAGGAGGCAGGGGTTAGGGTGAAGGTTGGTTTCTTCAGTGAGTGCTGACCTCATGCTCACAGTCACCATGATACGAAATGAGTATGTTGAACCTTAGATCTGTTTAGTTAGACGCTTCTTTTTTAAAATAAACAAGAAAGGCTAATTTCCAGTTTCCTCTGGGGGTTGATGGGAGAAAGATGATTAGTTCAAACATCTAAATTTGGTCCAAGTAGATTAAAGTTTGAGGTGAGATAGATAAAGAAGCATGGAATAAATTTCTCATGCCTTTTGGAAGGCTCTAGCCTTATTCTGAGTGGAATAAAAATGGAGTTGGAATACTCTGCTCATTCATTATCGGCTTTTTCTGTCCTCTTATTTCTCTGTCTCTTTCCCCTGTTGCTGGTGAGTTGGGATGTGAGGAGGGAGTAAGATAGGGTTTGGTCTGTGAATGGAAGTAGGAAGAGGAAAAGAAATGTTTCTCTTTCTCCCTCTCCCTCTAGCCTTAACCCTCAGTTGAATAGTCTCTCTAAGCCGTGGTTTTAAAGTACCTTATTAGTCTTATTTGGAGAGCCTGAATTTCTGACTACTAAGGGTTTCCTGGGACTTTTCCAGTGTCCCCAGTATTGCAATATGAAGAAAAGGGAATGCTGAGACTGCAGAGGTGTTTGGAGGAGTAGGGAGGGCTAGAGAAGACTTGGGAAGATTGTTTGGTCACCCCAGTTGTCATTAAAGGCCACTGAGGGTTGTCATTCTCATAGATCAGAAACCTAATTTGTCAAACTGAGTGGATCTATTTCTCAGGGTCTCAAACAGACTAAGGTATAAAAACCTCATATGCCAATATATTAAGTTGTATCGAAATCCAAAATCAACAACTAGATCTTCCTGTTTGCTGATTAGGGTATTCTTTCCTGGTGGGCTCTTCTACATGAAAAACCAAAGTATGTAATCAGAATGCCAGAATGTAGTGAAAATGTTCACTTGCTTAAGTGATCTGACTCTTGTGTCTGTTGATTAGCACGTTCCGTCCTTACAGAGGCCAAATTAGGAGAAAGTTGCTTGGAAAACATGGAGTCAGAATTGGGTGGCAAGTTGGAGAACCTTTGTGGCTGGTGTCATCAAGCCAGGCCAGCCGAAAACTGCTGTTGCCACTCTTGGGATGGGGCTGCTAGATGTGCCACATTCACAGCCCAGGGTTCCTGCTCTTAGGACAGCCCTGGAAAGTTTTTGCCAAATTGGCCTTTTTGGACTTCCCGTGATGGATATTATACTCACCGTGGCCTTTTTGTTAGCACAATTTTCTCCAGGCTGATAACAGAGCGGTTATTTCAGTAGGCCTTTTAGTTATAATCTTAATCTGCTGCTTTCTTCCACGTTTCTTTCATCGGATTCTGGGAAATTACTTACAGTCTCTTGGGTTTTTTCTATACAAGGTAGATCTTATCCCTTATATTTCAACTTTTCCTCATCTCAGTCTCACAGGTAACCTTAGTTGCAGTTTTGGAGTTCTGGGTTTGACTGTTAGTCCTGTAAATGTCCATACATAGCAGTGTAGAGAAATTGAGATAACTCTAAATTCAGAGGGTACATAATGATCCGGGCTGTTGTCAGAAGGAGAGCTAGTTCGTTCCCCAGTGACATTAGAGCTGTAGTCATTTTCTCTGATAAATAATTGAACTGTGCTTTCCGAGGGGGTCTTGTTACAATGAGCAGGAGTATGGAGGGTGAGAGGTTTGGTTACAGTGAGAGGAGGGATGCAGAATGCAGATAGACAGTGCCTGGCCTAAAGTGCCCTGCTCTGTGCCCCTGAAGTAGGGGGCGCACCAGGTGATGCTCTGAGACAGAGTGGTGGGCCTTCGTGCTTCAGCTAATCAGAGCCAGTCCCCTCTCCTTGCCAGCTGGAAAGAATCGCAAGGAGCTGATAGTGACATTCCTTTAATTAAATTCCAGATTTGGTCTTTTGGGACTTCTGTATGATTGAAACTTGAGGGTTGATGCATTTAAGGTACCAAATGCCCTCACTGGGACTTGGAGGGTGACCGTAGAATACGCCCTAGGGAGTGGAGAACTCTTTGTTATCGTGATCTCTGGGGTCAAGGGGTAGATATTTATTCATCCTCATTAATCTTTTTCTCTCTTCTTTCCATGTCCTTGCCTTGGAGCAGTTATTACAGTAAGTATTTTCCACGGGGTGAAGGGTGGTGGAATTGTAGATGATTTATAAGAAAATAAGAAATAAAAATGTAACCACACTGGAGGTTATTGGTGACTTTCTCTTGGGTGACTTTTGGAGTTGTTGAGGCTTAATCCTTTCTGTTAACTGGCAAAGTAGCCTCTTTTTTTAAGCTTTGGCATGTGGCATTGTAAGGTGCAGTAGTCAGGACCATGGCAGCCTAGCTCTGGGTCTCGCTGACATGTACAGAATGACCCGAGGCTCTCCCCTCTTCCCGCCAGGTTTTGCCTTTTCAGGGTTGTGCAGAACTTCAGGGTAGCTGACCCCAGTGAGCATTGACCCTTGGCAAAATTATGAAATCAGCAAGGATTCTCTTCCATGACCATCCCGTGTCAATGCCCCTTCTCCCTGCCTTTTAGCATTCTCACCCAGTGCCTTGTCCCTGTTGGTGAACTTAGGCAGCTACTGGGAACCCAGTCCCTGCTGAGGAGTTAATGGACTAACGTGTTCTTCCTTTGCTTAGTTCCAATTTTGAGAAACCACTAAGGGAAGAGATAGTAATTAGCATGAAGAGTTAATTTGCTGAGAAGAGAACTTTGGGCCTCAGCAAAAGGTTGGCT